GAGATACAGCCCGCGGGTCCCTCTCCTCCGGCTCTCCAGTCTGGGCGTAGCGCCCGGAATCTACGCCCCGCCCCAGGAGAGTTCCTTTCCAGCCTCCCCAGTCCTCCGATCTGGCCACGCCCCCTACTCGTCTAAGCACGCTCATCCGGCGGGACCGTCTCCTGCCTGTCAATCTGCTTATCGGGCCACGCCCCTCCCTACCGTCCCGCCCAGTCTCGGCTCCCCACCTCTCCCGTTCCCCGCCCCTCCCCCTGTCCGTCAACTCCACTCTGGCCCCGCCCCGCCCTCCTCGCGGCGTTCCCTCTCGCAGGCCCCGGCGCGGCCCGTTGTTATGACGACACGGTCGTAAATCCGCCATCTTCCTGCGGCGCGTTGCGACATGGAGGGCGCGATGGCAGTTCGGGTGACGGCCGCTCATACGGCAGAAGCCCCGACCGAAGCCGGGCGGGAAGCGAGCGAGGGCGGGATCGCGGCAGCGGCGGCCTTGGCCCCCGGCGGCTTCCTGGGCCTCCCGGCGCCCTTCAGCGAGGAAGGTAACAGAGCCGGATGCGGCCAGGGTGGGGGCGGCTCAGCGCGGGCTGGCGGAGGACCCGATGGCCTGAGTGCGGGCGTGACAGACCCTCCCAGACCCGGATTCCTCGCGGGCCTCCCGGGCCCCGCGTGGGCCCTCGTAGTCTTCCACGCCCACCCCCCCCCGGCTTTGTCCGACCTCGCGGGCCTCCCGTGCGGGACGCTCAGCACCTCCGTGTCGCGTCCATCATACTCACTGGGGCTCAGTGTAAACCTCCGCAAGCGCTGTCAGCGCCAGCCCTGCCCCTCCGGCCGTCGGCCCGGCCCCTCGGCGGCTCCTGCCCTGAGCGTGGCCCTGCCCTCTCGGCCCCTGGCGGATCACTCGGGCCCTGGTCGGGGCGGGGCTGGAGGCTCCAGGAGGGCGGGGCCTCGGGCCGCCTCAAGATCTGGGCTCGGGTCCTGGCTGTGGGGGGGCAGCAGCGCCCGGTGGAAGAGAACTGGTGAGCGACAGCCGGCTTGCGGGCTGCGTCCCAGACCTGCCACTTTATGGCTCTTTGATCCTGGACAGGTAAACCACACCTCTCTCAGCCCCCATTTCCCCTTACACAATGGGTTGGCGGCTGCTGCCGCCGGTGGTGGAGCAAGCATTTACCCTGTGTCGTGTTTTTTCATTCTCAACCCCATCCTGAGAGGTGGATGCTATTATTATTATTTATTCCATTTGGGGGGTGAGGAAGATTGAGACTCAGAGATGTGGAAGTGACCGGGTTACCCAGCTAGTAAGTAGCAAGGACTGAATTGGGTCCCAGGACTGTGAAGCTCCTCAACTCAGCCCCTTCAGCTTCTGAGTTCTGCGGCTTCCCAGGAGCTCATGAAAATTAAAATAGAGTGTGCGTGTCAGGCGCTGAGAACAGGGCACTGGGTTCCTTTTGGAGACAGAGCTTGGCCTATACTCTCTGTATTTGTCCCATGAGGCTGCACTTTGGGTCAGACAGGAAGAGAGTTGGCTAGTGATATTGGGGTAAGGGTGATCTTGTCTTTGTCCCCACAGGATTTGTAGTCTTGGTGCAGTTTTTTCTTGCTCTTAATCTGGCTTGGAGAGGGGCAGTGCCCTCCTAGAGCAGGGTCTCTTTGGAAGTGGCTGTTTCCTGCTGGGCTTGCCCAGCCTTATCTCAGTGTGAAATGGGCTGGGCATGTCCCCTTCTGGGGTGGGGCTCCTTCAACCGCAATACCCTGATGCCGAGTCAGGCTTGGTGGGAGGGGTGGGAAGGTTGAGAGGGTGGCGGGCACCTCAGTGCTTGGTTTGTGATTGAGCCATCTGGAGGGAACTGTCCTCTGTCAGGTGTCCTTCTGCAGGCGAGTCATAGCTGTGGTTTGGCCTTCTATTTGCTCATTCATTTAGCAAACATTTATCAGACTCCTTCAAGCACCAGGCCTGGTTTTGACCTAGATGTGGGGCTGAACATAAAGTGGTGGGAACTAGTCGACTTTATGGAAGCAGAAGGAACAGCTCCTCCATCCCTCTGGGCAAACAGGGTCTCTGGAGTGGACCCTCAGGTTCAGGCTTTGTCTCCAACACTCAGCAGTTGGGTGACCTTGAACTTCAAATAATTTTTCTAGGATGGGTATAGTCATTTCTATTTCCCAGGGTCCTGGCAGGATTTGGTGACTGTCCCCTGTGAGATGCTTGGCACACAGTAGGGACTCAGAGCATGGAGTCTCTTCTGCAGGGCCTAGGGCCAGCATGTGATGGTGAGGGGCCCAGGGACGTGGGAGCCCTTGGGATAGCTCCACTGTTGGTGTCTCCATCTGAGCAGGGTTGCTGCTGTGGGGGATCAGTGAAGCCCCAAGTCAGTGAGCAAGGCCGGGCGTGGGTCAGGATCCCTGCTGCTTCTGTGTTTGCTGAGATCTTGCCTCTACCAGCCTGCTAGTCAGCCCCTTTTGCTGAGAGACGGCTACCAACGTGCCCAAGGGCACATTCAGACCCCAGCAGTCTTAAACCCTGGTCTACTGTCCCCAAACTGGCATGGGGACATACATCCCTCCACCTCCTGACCCCTCTCTGGGACTTATTCTCTTCACTGGAGGGAGAGCTTTGTGTCCAACAGCCTCAGTGGATCTCAGGGCCTGATGTGCGGCTGGGGCCACCCCTGCTAGGCGCTGACTCCCCTGGGCAGGCCTTGCTCCTGCAGACCTCTAGAGGATGGGGGTCACCCCCTGGAGTTTCCTGGGCATGTTCTTAGCAGCCTCTGGGTGACCACTGGAGGAGTTCTGGTCGGTGCCATCCTGGGGAGAGTCTGCCTGGCCTGGTCCCCCATTGGGGTCTGCTGACCGCAGGCTCCTTGTAGATGAGGATGATGTGCACAGATGTGGCCGCTGCCAGGTGGAGTTCACTGCCTTGGAGGACTTTGTTCAGCACAAGCTTCAGAAGACCTGCCAGCGGGCCCTTCAGGATGCCCTTCCTGCTACTACCTCGCTGCTGGGCCAGGAGGTGAGCCCCCACCCCACTGCCACCACATGCACGTGCCCCTCCCTGGGCTCACCTGATGGGAAGAGGAGAAGGAAGCAGTGTGCCAGGACAGACCTGTGTAGCTGGTTCCTGGAACATGTGGGCGGGCAGACAGTAGGCACCTGACTGGGCCAGAGAGGGCCTGGATATGCTAAGAGCCTGGGGGTACTGTGTGGCATCTTGGGGTGGCCCAGCCTTCTTAGCAGCCTCTGACTGAAGCTTGCACAGTTGGGAAACTAGAGTCTCTCTTGGCTTGGAGGGTATCACGGTGGCTTTTTTCTCCGTGGCTTTTTTTTTTTTGAATTGGCGTCTCACTCTGTCACTCAGGCTAGAGTGCAGTGGCATGGTCTCAGCTCACTGCAGCCTGGATCTCCTGGACTCAGGGGATTCTCCCACCTCAGCGTCCCAAGTAACTGGGACCACAGGCACGTGCCATCATGCCTGGCTAATTTTTTGATTTTCTTGTAGAGACAGGGTCTTACTATGCTGCCCAGGCTAGCCTTGAATTTCTGGGCTCAAGCAATCCTCCAGCCTTGGCCTCCCAAAGTGCTGGGATCATAAGCGTGAGCCATAGCGCCTGGCCTGTGGCTTATCTTCCATCCTGTGCAGAGTTTCTGGGGATCCCACAAGCAAAGTGTAGCCCCGTAGGTCCTGCCACTCTGTCATAAAGATGGCCAGCTTTGTTGCGCCCCTGTGCTTGAGGCTAGACACACAGTCGTGTTAAGTCCCACAGTACCCCCATAGGGTGGGAGCTCTTGCCGTCCTCATGCAGAGAAAAGAGAGGAGGCTCAAAGCGGCAGTGGTCTTAGGCCACTGGCAGGGAGAGGCTCAGATGTCATCTCACTCCGACCTCGTGCTTCTTCCCTGCCCCCTCCCAGAGGTGCCCTCTTCCCCAGGGAGGCCCGCAGCCTTCTCCTCTGACCCCTGGCTGGGGCTAGTGGCTTGGTCACACCTTCATTCCGGCGAGCCAGCTCAGCTCACACCAGAGTTGCTGCTGGTTACTCTCCATGGTGCTCAGTGCTGTGGATCTGGCCCATGGTGGCCAGAGCCATGAGAGTGATGGGGCTGACCCCGGCCCAGGGTTGGAGGGGCCAGGCTGGGAGTTGGGCTCAGTCAGAGCTGTGGTCCTGCAGGGGAAGACACCAGCCCCACCCAGCTGTCCCACTCCAGGCCTACGCTGCCACAGCCATGTGCCAAGGGAGCCCAGGCCTCTTCTGGGAACTCTGGAGCCCACAGATGTTTCCCCTTCGTTACCTGTCCCCCATTGGCAGGTGGTGCCGGCAGCAGCGGGCCCGGAGCCGCCCATCACCGTGGCCCACATTGTGGTGGAGGCAGCCTCCCTGGCAGCAGACATCAGCCATACGCCGGACCTTGTCGGTAAGCTGGCTGTCCATGCGTCACTGGCCTGACAGCCCTCTGGTCAGGACTGGAGGATGGGGCCCCTTGCTGCCTGTATCCTCCCTTCCCTAGAGTAAGTCCTGGCTTGGGGGGCTGAGGCCCTATGACCCTTCCCCAGGGCAGGGCCCGCAGGAGCCTTGGCAACAAAGGGGAAGCAGGGCGTCCACAGTGGCCTGGGCAGCCCTGGCACCCCAGGCATCAGTTTCTGGTGTGTGCCATCCTGAGCTGGTTGTTCTCTCCTGTGGGCTCTCCCAGGCTGTCTCTGCCCTGGTCTTCCTGGAGTCTTCCCTGCTTCTCTGCTGTCCCATTTCCTACCCCCTGCCTATAGGCAGAGCCCACCAGGGCACCCGGATGGCCCACCTGCCCCAGCAGGGGCTCTGGAGGGTCAGTGTGGTATGGGCAGTCTCTGCCCACTGCCTGGCCTTGAGTTCCCCTCTCCAGCACTCGCTCTGGCGTGGGTGGTGGTGGCTGCCCTGGTTCTCACCAGCTTTTATGAGCATACAACGCCAAGCCTTGTGGCTGGTTTTAAGTTAAGGTGCTTTGCTGTTGTGCGGCGGGAGGGGCCCGTTGTAGGTCTGGGCTGGGTCAGGCTCTCATTCATCAGGGACAGATGCACACGCTGTGGGGACATCCAAGGGCAACCTGGGCTGGTGGAGGGAGCTGGGGAAGGGCCGGGTGGCTGGGGTGCGGGCGCCAGGGCAGGAGGCTGCTCGTCCTGACGTACAAGGAAGGAGCCTGTGATCCAGCTGCTCTCTGGGAGGCAGCTGCAGCGCCTGGCTTGATCCCATGCTGCCTTTCTCTGGCCTTCCTCTGACAGAGACACTCATCAGATGAGGGCTGGGGATGTCTGGGTGGCGGCTGGACCCGCTCCTGCCCTGGTGTGGTGTTTGGCTTCTAGATGGGTGGCATCATTTGAAAACACGAACTCCCTGGGTTCCTGCAGCTTTTCCAGGTCCCGGGCCTCTGGCCAGCCAGGCCTCTTTCCATCCACCTGACCTCTGGCGGGTCCAAGGCTCGGCTAGGCATGGTAGCTCCGTGTGAAAGGGCTCCTCTCTGGGCACTCCAGCCTCTCTGGTGCCCTTGGGTTTCTCCCTTTGCAGGCATTCTGGGTGCCCTGCGTGTGCCCCTTGGCCAATCAGGAGCCCAGGGTTAGCCGGCACTCCTGTTGGCCTCATGTGGAGATGGCTCTGGGGTCCTGTTGGTGGTCCAGGACTGTGGCACTGAGGGAGGTGGGCTGTGCCAGGCCCAATCCTCACTGGGCAGGGGTCTGGTCAGCTGTGTGGGAGGCTGGGACCCCCTTCCGTCCCTCCTGCCTCTCCCCTGGAAACAAGCCTGTACCTCTTCTCTGCACTTGCGGCGGCCTGTTCCCCCTCAGGTCCCCCGTTCCCCCTCAGGTCCTCTGTTCCCCTTCAGGTCCGTGCCAGTCAGGCTGTGTTCTCTTGCAAGGTCACTTCTGGGGCGTCAAGCGTGCCAGCAGGGCACGGGTGTGCGAAGCCTTAATTGTTCCTGAGTCACGGCATCTTTGTTCTGTTTCGATAGAATGGCTTGTCAAAACAAGATGCCAGCCGAATGAGATGGTTTCTAAGTCGTGGCTTCACAGCTGTTTCCCATCTGTCATTCTTATGAGCAGAAAATGGGAAGTGTGTTTACAGTGTGGCCTTGCACGCTGTCAGAGCCCTCAACACCCAGGAGAAGCTCAGACTTCCTTTCCTCAGGCTGGCCCAGGTGTCTGGAGAGTGCTCTCTCTCCCAGGCTGAGCCTTCCCGGCCTGCCCGGGGAAGGGGCTTTGGGGGCCCTGCTGGCAGCCCCACCAGCGGTGGCTCCAGAGACATCTCCTCTGTGGTGGTGGGAGCCACTGCGGCGAGCAGAACAGAAGCCGTGGGCACACTGACCTGTCTGCTGTCCCTCCCTGGCTCCCTGTCCCCAGTTCCCACGTGTCCTCTTGGCTTAGGGGAGGAAGCATCTGTACTCATGGTGGGTCTCTCCACTGGGGTGTTTTGGGAGCCCTGGGGCATCTCTGGGCAGGTCCGTGGAATGGGCAGGGGTGTCTCCCCCCACTCAGGCTGACCTCAGAGCTGCTGAGTGGCCCCCAGCTGCCTTCCTGGCCTCTGTGTCGAGGCCTCCTCAATGCTGGCGGGGTCTGACACTTGGCCCAAAATGGCAAGTCCGTGCTCCTGGGCTGGGTGGGCAGGGCGGCTCCATGGCCCCAGCAGGCTTTCTGTGCACAGATCTCCTCGGAGGTGACAGAGCCTGCGGGAGGGTCCTGAGGCTCAGGCTGACCTGCCCCTCCTCAGGTGGTGGGCACATCAAAGAGGTCATTGTGGCTGCTGAGGCGGCACCAGGTGGCAGTGAGATGGCAGAGGCTCCCAGCAGCCCCAGCCGGCAGGCACTCAGGCTGGCTGGGGAGGGTGAGCAGGCCCAGGTCAAGCTGCTGGTGAACAAGGACGGCCGCTACGTGTGCACGCTGTGCCACAAGACCTTCAAGACGGTGAGTTGGAGCCGTGGGCGGGCCAGGCCTGCCTTCTCTCCCGCGGGGAGTTGCCCTGAGCCTCACTGCCCCTCCCCTGCAGGGCAGCATCCTCAAGGCCCACATGGTCACCCACAGCAGCCGCAAGGACCACGAGTGCAAGCTCTGCGGGGCCTCCTTCCGGACCAAGGGCTCGCTTATCCGGCACCACCGGCGGCACACAGGTGAGACAGGCTGGGGCCTGGGGTCGGAGGCACACGGCACCTGCCGACTGGCCCTAGGCCACCACCTCAGCCTCGCAGCCCCTGGCTCTGGGGTGAGGCAGGGGTTTCATGCCTGCCAGCCTGTCATGGCTGCCTGGCACTGACGGGTCCTCTCTGCAGACGAGCGCCCCTACAAATGCTCCAAGTGTGGGAAGAGCTTCCGGGAGTCAGGCGCGCTGACCCGGCACCTCAAGTCTCTCACCCCGTGCACAGAAAAACTCCGCTTCAGCATGAGCAAGGATTTGGTTGTCAGCAAAGAGGACGTGCCTGCAGGTCAGCATGGTATGGGGGCTGCTTGGGCCGCTGGGGACAGCCTGGCTGATACAGTTCTTCAAGGACTCCCTTGGTCTGCCTTAAGGGTCTGGAGCTGCCACCTTGGGGACGGTTACATCATCGCCTGTAACAGGCGACCCCATGGAGACTTCGCCTGTGATTCATCTGGTGACAGATGCCAAAGGCACTGTCATCCACGAAGTCCATGTCCAGATGCAGGAGCTGCCCCTGGGCATGAAAGCCCTGGCCCCAGAGGTGGGGACACACTTGGGGGAGCCCCCGCAGGGGCTGTTCTGTCCTCTGCCCACTCGGTGTCAGGCTGTGTTCTGGGCACTCACTATAGCAGGAACGGGACAGAACTGGGCCTGGCTTCTGGAGCTCAGTAACTGCAGGGGAGACGGGAGGTGGGCGGTAGGAAAAGCTTGTTAGTAAACAGCACGCCAGAGGGCGGGGGAGGGGTGAGGGAGAGTGGGCTGGGGTCAAGGTCAGCAGGGAGGGCTGGCTTCATCCAGGTAGAGAGAGGCAGGTGAGAGCCATGGGGCTCTGCGGGTGTGCAGAAGCCTGACCCTTTGTCTTGGCATGAGAGTGGGTTCCGCCTGCAAGGATGCCTGACTAACCTCCCTTCCCCACCTCTCCTGCAGCCCCCCGTCCCTGAGGACCTTCCTTGTCCTGGTGAGGGCAGCCGTGAGAACCTGCTGCACCAGGCCATGCAGAACTCCGGCATCGTCCTGGAGCGTGTCACTGGGGAGGAGGGTGCCCTGGAGCCAGCCTCTCGTACCAGGTGCAGTCTCCAGCCCCTGGGAGGTACAGCCCCGGAACTGCCACTGCTGGAGGTGCAGCCGATGGAGACAGTAGGTGCTTGCGCGGTAGGTGCCTGTGTGGTCAGCGTGCTCCTTCCAGGGACTGGGCCCGGGTGCCTGGTTACCATGCTGGCCTGGGCCGCCAGCCTCCCTGGGGCAGAAAGTAGTGTGGCTTTCTGCAGTGAGTCTGTCCACTGCTTTGCTTACTGCCTTCCCTGGGGTCACGAGGGAGCCCATCAATGTACGGGCTGTGGTTGTGTCCTTGGTACTGCCAGGGTACAGCCTGAAGTGGGTGCTAGAGACTGCCCGTGGTTCCCCTGGCAGGTGGTCAGTGAGGCCTCTGCTGTGCCCAGAACCCACCTGTGCCCTCAGTGCAGTGAGACCTTCCCGACAGCAGCCACTCTGGAGGCCCACAAGAGGGGCCATGCAGGTGGGTGACAGGAGGGTGAGTAGGCCCTCAGGCAGTAGATGGGCTGTGGGGGTCCGGGGTGGGCCCACAGGTGGTGGACCCAGCTGGTCTGTGGGCGGGCGGGTGGGGGATGGGCCTGGCCTGATGCCGTTTGTGGTTGCAGGGCCAAGGCCGTTCACCTGCATGCAGTGTGGCAAGGCCTTCCCCAAGGCCTACCTGCTCAAGAAGCACCAGGAGGTACACGTGCACGAGCGCCGCTTCCGCTGTGGGGACTGTGGGAAGCTCTACAAGACCATTGCCCATGTGCGTGGCCACCGGCGTGTCCATTCAGACGAGCGGCCCTACCCTTGTCCCGAGTGTGGCAAGCGCTATAAGACCAAGGTGGGCCTTGGCGCCTGAACCCCCTCGGGAGCTCCCAGCCCTGCGGCCAGACCTGCCCCCTTGCCAGCTCCTACCTTCCCTCCTTGCCCCATCACCCTCAGCCTGTTCAGGCGCGATGCAGCCATCACTTGGCCCCAGCGGCGGGAGGGGAGAGTGCGGTTGTGGGCAGAGGCCAGCCTGGCACTGACAGCGGGTCTCCCCAGAATGCCCAGCAGGTGCACTTCCGGACACACCTGGAAGAGAAGCCACATGTGTGCCAGTTCTGCAGCCGAGGCTTCCGGGAGAAGGGCTCGCTGGTGCGGCACGTGAGACACCACACGGGCGAGAAGCCTTTCAAGTGCTACAAGTGCGGCCGTGGCTTCGCTGAGCACGGCACCCTCAACCGCCACCTGCGCACCAAAGGTCTGGGCCACCACGGGATGGGGGGAGCGGGAGGCCCCAGGCCCTGACTGAGCCCCTGCCGGCAGGGGGCTGCCTGCTGGAGGTGGAGGAGCTGCTGGTATCTGAGGAGAGCCCTGCGGCGGCTGCCACCGTCCTAACAGAGGACCCACATACCGTGCTGGTGGAGTTCTCATCCGTGGTGGCCGACACCCAGGAGTACATCATTGAGGTGGGTGTGGGGCTGAGGGCTAGGAGGGGGCCCAGGGGCAGCCAAGGCTGACCTCTGACCGTCTGCCCAGGCCACTGCAGATGACGCAGAGACCAGTGAAGCCACAGAGATCATCGAGGGCACCCAGACGGAGGTGAGGGCTGGGTAGGACAGGAGTGGCCTGGCTGTCTCTTGCGTCCCCAGTCCCTGGGGCTGAGCTGTGTGCCCCACAGGTGGACAGCCACATCATGAAGGTGGTGCAGCAGATCGTGCACCAGGCCAGCGCTGGGCACCAGATCATCGTGCAGAATGTGACCATGGATGAGGACGCAGGGCTGGGCCCGGAGGCGGCCACCGCCGACACCATCACTATTGCCACCCCTGAGAGCCTGACAGAGCAGGTGGCCATGACACTGGCATCAGCCATCAGCGAGGGCACTGTGCTCACAGCCCGCACAGGGGCAAATGGCACCGAACAGGCCACCGTGACCATGGTGTCATCGGAGGACATCGAGATCCTGGAACACGCGGGTGAGCTGGTCATTTCCTCGCCAGAGGGCCAGCTGGAGGTGCAGACGGTCATCGTGTAGTGCAGGGCCCATGAGTCCCAGCTTGGCTGGGATGGGGCTGAGGACTCTGAGCCTGCCTTGGAGAGAGATGAATGCAGCCATCCTGGGATGGAGGGTATAAATAATAAATATAGAGCGTTTGTTGCTTTACAATAAAACATGAAAACCTGCAGCTTGTGATGTTGCGGCCGTGGTGGCCTCTGGGGCTGGTGCCTTCGCAGTTTCCCTGGCAATGGTGCTGCCTGCCCGGGCCTTGCTTCAGACTTGACGCCTGGTCACCCCACCCAGGGCTCCTGCCAGCCCTGGCGGCATCTCTGGTGCGTGGGTGTCTCTGGCATGTTGATGGGCAGCCTCCTGCTGCCGCCCTGCCCATCTGGAGCTGTGACCCCAGCCACCTCGGCTGTGGGGCGGGTGGGAGGAGGGTGTTGCTTCCTGCCTCCAGCCCTGGGGCTGCCGGAGCAGACTGAGGCAGGGAGACCCAAGACCTGGGCTCAGCTGGGCTCTCCCATGGTGAGGATGTGTGGGCAGAGCAGCAGGAGATGCGGGGCCAGACGCGGGTCTGGTCTTCCCTGAGCACTGTGCCTTGGTTTCCCCAAGGGGATGCAGCTCAAGGAGGCAGGTTCTGGGCCACCCAGTTCTGGGGGCGGGCACAAGGACGAGGCCTGTACTGCAGACGTGGCTGATCCTCCATCCCCGTTCTGAGACTCCTCGGGCTGGCAGGGGCTTCTGAGGCAGCTCAGACAGGTCCCTTGCTCTCACCCTTGGGCTGTCTGGGAATGGGAGCCAGGAGTCTGAGTCCAGCTCCACTGAGGGGGCGGGGCCCAGTGCAGCCCGGCCCCTCCCTGGACCAGAGCCTCAAATACCCACCCATGGCCCTGGCATCAGAACTGCTGCCTGACCAAGAGCAGTTGGTCCTGTGCCGAGACACCCCCAGCCAGGACACAGCATCTCCATCTAACCAGGACCCCAAGCCTCTTGTATCCCCTCATTCTCCTCCTAGGTGAGTCTGGGGCTGAGTTAAGCTGGCAGGTGACTGGGAGGATCCCTCTGTTGGGGTTTGTTCCCCTCATCGTGGGAGGGCAGCTGCAGGCGGAGAGCCCGGCCCACTGCTCTGGGGAGACCTTGGGGCACAGGTGAGGACGTGCCTTGGCACTGGCCAGCACTGGGCGAGTCCCGCAGGGCTGGGGCCCGAAACGGAGAGAGGGGTCAGGGCGTCTGAGTTCAGGTCCTTGCTCAGCCGCTGCACCTGTCCCTCCCAGCGCCCCTGCTCAGCACCATGGGCGGGCCCTGGGCTCTGCTGGCCACGCTCTGGGCGCTAGGGGCCGCCGAGGCTGCTGCTGCGCTGCGCATCGGAGCCTTCAACATCCAGAGCTTCGGCGACAGCAAAGCGTCAGACCCGGCTTGTGGTCCTGTCATTGCGCAGGTGAGGCGGGGGCAGGCTGGGACCGGGCAGGGCGCCGTGGCCTCTGGGGGAATGAGACCTACACTGTCCCTAGCAGATCCTGACTGGCTACGACATCGCGCTGGTGCAGGAGGTGCGAGACCCCGACCTGAGCGCCGTGTCCGCGCTCATGGAGCAGATCAACAGGTGTGGCCGGTGGGGCCCGGAACGCGACCCCGCCGGGATCCCCGCCCAGCTCAGTGCCCTGACCCAGGGCCCCGCCCGTGTCTCCGCAGCGTGTCCAAGCACGAGTACAGCTTTGTGAGCAGCGAGCCCCTGGGGCGGGACCAGTACAAGGAAATGTACCTGTACGTCTACAGGTGAGGGGCGCACCGCAAGGAGGGGCGCGTGGGCCGCGGGTGGCGGGCTCAGAGCGACACCGCCCTCTGCCCCCAGGAAGGAAACGGTGTCAGTCGTGGACACCTATCAGTACCCGGACCCCGAGGACTCCTTCAGCCGCGAGCCTTTCGTGGTCAAGTTCTCCGTCCCCGGCTCAGGTGAGGCCGGCCCCGCCCCCAGCCCTCCCCGGCTCTCCCTCGGGCCCTGACGCCCCCGTGCCCTCTGTAGCTGCCAAGGAGCTGGTGCTGATCCCGCTGCACGCGGCCCCGCACCAGGCCGTGGCCGAGATCGACGCGCTCTACGACGTGTACCTGGACGTGATTGACAAGTGGGGCTCCGACGTAAGCCCGTGCCCTTGGACTGGGGCCCGGCGTGCGCGCCCCGGGGGCTTGGGCCACGGAGGATGGGGCCGGGCGGCCGAGGAAAGGCTCAGACCAGCTCCGCGCCCGCAGGACATGCTGTTCCTGGGCGACTTCAATGCTGACTGCAACTACGTGCGGCCGCAAGACTGGGCCGCCATCCGCCTGCGCAGCAGCGAGGTCTTCAAGTGGCTCATCCCCGACAGCGCCGACACCACGGTGGGCAACTCGGACTGCGCCTACGACCGCATTGTGGTGTGCGGCGCGCGCCTGCGCAGGTGCCTAAAGCCCCAGTCGGCCGCCGTGCACGACTTCCAGGCGGAATTCGGCCTGGACCAGACTCAGGTGAGTGGAGAAGGGGCGAGCGCGGAGCCGGTCCCGGGATCCCCGGACACCCTGGAACACACAGCCGAGAGCGGCCGGCAACTGCTGCCCAGGGCAGGCCCTGTCCCAGCTCCCGGCCCGAGGGCATGTGGTGGAGGGCCCCTGGAGGCTCACCTGCGCAGCTTGGGCCGGATAGCTTGCCCACAGCCCTCAGCCTTTCCCCTGCCAGGGCCAGGGGTGGGTCCCCCTGCACCCTTGCCCCTGCCCTACTTCGGCAGCAGCGTTGGGAGTACACACCCAGGCCTCACTAGCTCCTCTCCAGAGGCAGTGGCTTGTAGACACCCAGTGGGCCCCACCCTGGTGGGGGTGTCCCGAGGTGGAGGCAGAGGGAGGAGGGGGACCAGCAGGACCGCTGAGTCTCACTTCTTCTTCCTCCAGGCCCTGGCCATCAGTGACCACTTTCCTGTGGAGGTGACCTTCAAGTCCCACTGACCACTGGAGATCTGGCCAGGGCACAGCACCTGCGGACTCTAACCCCAGGGAAGAGCCCCACAGTGGCTCCTTCAGGGTGGCAGCTACTCCTCAGTGAGGCCACAGGCAGAGCCTGGTGGGTGTGGACGAGTGGTCATGGACATGTTATATGACCACTCTGAGCCTGTTTCCCCATCTGTAGGATGGGCTACCACCACCTACCTCATAGGGTTGTCGTGAGGAGTCCCCATGAGGGGCTGGACAGTGCCTGACACACGTCTGCTCAATAAACGAGCTGTGCTCAGCCCAGACCACACAGCTTGGCTTTGAGGCCTGTCCTTTCTCAGGACTCAGCCCTACTGGGGCACAAGCCTGGGTCCCACGGCCCATGACCCTAGCTCTGTTAGGGGACAGGGACAACCTGGCCTGTCCACTTCACATCCTGGTGGGAACTGGCCATGTCCAGACCATGTTGGCCCCAGAATGCAGGCTGGGAAGGACCTTGTTTATTCTTTGTGCAAACTATAAATGCTCCTCAGAACTCGTACTATACCTAGGACAGTGATGGTGCTGATGTGACAGCTGCTTCCTGGGCCCTGCAGGAACCCTCAGGTGCTGGTCTGTCCCAGGGGCTCTGGTCTTACCCAACCCTTCAGAGGGAGGTCAGGGAATTGGCCCACACCCCAGCTGGCCAGCTCCTCTGGAACTTTTTGGGAATCCCTCCGCAGTGGGTGAGCTGAACTCCTCTCCCTGCCCAGGCAGGTGGTCTCCCTGTGCCCTGGGTGAAGCCCACACATAAGAATCAGGAACCAGCAGTTTCGCAGAGATACCAGGAAACTGACAGGGGCCCAGTGAGGTTTTTAGTTTCCAAAACATTTCATCTTTGGCAGGATTTGGGAACTGGCCTGAATCATATGGGAAGACATACCTTTGCTTTAAGAGTTTGGACAAGTTTGGTTCTTGCAAAATCTTTCTATAATAAGATCTAGGACCCTAGCAGTGGCCTCCTAGCAACAGCACGCCATGTGCCCATTTCCCCCTCAAGATCCCTGTTTCTCTGGATTGCTGTGCTCTCTTCATCCAAGTGAACAAGCGCAGTGACCAAAGGGCTTTTCTCTGGGGGGGTCCTGTGTGGGTCGTGGGGACTGAGACAACCTGGCTTTACACCTCCAGCAAGAAGGCAGCCCAGAGGCCAGGGATGGCTAACGTAAGAACTTTATTTACAACTCTGCTTTGGAAAAGGAAACACTTGCTGAGGCCCAGGACAGCCCCACCTGCCAGCTCAGGGTCCGAGTCCAGACACTGTCCTCCAGCCTCCCTTCCTGCTAGGCAAAGACAACTGTTTTATGTGTTGGGGGGGCGGGGCTTGGGACATTGGGTTACAAGGAATAGGACCTTCTATTGAAGATCGGCAAAACAAAGCCCTGGGAAATACTTTTAAGTAGAAAAATACCTTGTTTAAGACTCCCTTGGGAGAGGTGGACTCCTGTGGTGGGGGGAGCACACAGGACTGAAAGCCTCTGGCAGCTGAGCCACTAGCCTCTCTTTTGTCTGAGCTTTTCTAAGTACACCTGCAGGGACTTCTGAATGGAGTCTCTGGAGAGGAAGCTGACAAAGTTCTGGATGTCCGCGTCACGCTGTTTGATCAGGTGGTCTGCTGTGGCCTTTCGCATCATGGCCTTGGTCAGCTGTCGAGCGTGGTCTAAAGAAAATGGGACCCACCACTGAAACCCACTTTCAGAGATGGTGGGAATCATTCCCAGCCTTTATGTGAAAGTCCAGACAGAAACTCTGGCAGAAAATCCAGTTTCTCTTCATTTTGAGTTGGAGCCTCACTCTGTTGCCCAGGCTAGAGTGCAACGGCATGCTCACGGCCACTGTAGCCTCAATCTGCTGGGCTCAGGTGATCCTTCCACCTCAGCCTTCCAAGTAGCTGGAACCACAGGCATGTGCCACCACACCCAAGTAATTTTTTGATTTATTGTAGAGAAAATGTCTCACCATGTTGCCCAGGCTGGTCTCGAGACCCTGAGCTCAGGCATTCCTCTCACCTCTGCCTCCCAAAGTGGCTTGAGCCACTGCACCTGGCCACCAATTTTTCTTAAAAACGTACTGGATGGGCTGGGCTCAGTGGCTCAGCCTGTAATCCCAGCACTTTGGGAGCCCGAGGCGAGTGGATTGCCTGAGCCTCTGGGGTTAAGACCAGCCTGGGGAACTTCGTGAGACCTCCTCTCTACAATAAATAAAAAATTAGCCGGGCATTGTAGCACATGCCTGTAGTTCCAGCTACTTGGAAGGCTGAGGCAGAAGGATTGCCTGAGCCCAGCAGGTCAACGCTGGGGTGGCCATGAGCATGCCACTGTACTCCAGCCTGGGCAATGCAGTGAGATGCCAACTCAAAACAAACAAACAAAACAAAACATACTGGATAATACTGAAAAAATTGTTTTACTTTTTTTTTGAGTTGGAGTCTCACTCTGTCGCCCAGACTGGAGTGTAGTGGCCACTCCCGGCTACCGCAGCCTCGACCTGCTGGATTCCGGCGATCCTTCTGCCTCAGCCTTCCAAGTAGCTGGAACTACAGGCGCGCGTTACCATGCCCGGCTAATTTTTTGATTTTATTGTAGAGATGAGGTCTCGCCAAGTTGCCCAGGCGGGTCTCGAACCCGCGGGCTCAGGCAATCCACTCACCTCAGCCTCCCAAAGGCACGGGATTACAGGCTGAGCCACCGAGCCTGGCTGCTTTTTTACTTTTTAAGAGATAGGGTCTTGCCCTGTTGCCCAGGCTGGAGTGCAGTGGTGCAAGAATAGCTCACTTCAACCTTTAACTCCTGGGCTTCATGGGATCCTCCTGCCTTAGCCTCAAGTAGCTGGGACTACAGGCATACACCACCATGCCCAGCTAATTTTTTAATTTTTATTTTCATAGAGATGGGGTCTTGGTACATTGCCCAGGCTGAAAATTTCTTTTTTAATGTTTTAGCTTCACCCAATTATATTATTGAGGATATTTTCCATGTCACTAAATAGTCTTTTACAGCATAATTAATCGCTGCACGGTATTCAGTCATTTATATCAGGGTTGGCAAACTGGCTCCCCAATGCCCTCAAGCTTTTAATGGTTTTTACACTTTTGAATAGTTGAAAATAATCAGAAGAAGGTTACTATTTTTTGACATGTGAAAATTATGTGAGCCGATCTTGGTGGCTCAGACTGTAATCCCAGCATTTTGGGAGGCTGAGGTGAGTGGGTTGCCTTGAGCCTGAAGGTTCAAGACTCGCCTGTGCAACTTGGCGAGACCTCATCACTACAATAAAATAAAAAAAATTAGCTGGGCCTGGTGTGCGCGCCTGTAGTTCCAGCTACTCGGAAGGCTGAGGCGGAAGGCTTGCCGGAGTCCAGCAGGTCAAGGCTGCGGTGGCTGGGAGCGGCCTGCACTGCACTCCAGTCTGGGCGACAGAGTAAGACTTCAACTCAAAAAAAAAAAAAAAAAAGAAAAAGAAAATTATGTGAAAGTCAAATTTCAGGGCCCACAAAATTTTACTGGAAAACAGCCACACCAATCAGTTCACATCTTCCCCATGGCTCTCTCACGCTATGAAAACCTTAACCCACAGAGCTGACAAGAGACCTGCTCCTTACACACAGGATTAGCAGGTCCCTGGTCTACGGCACTGTTGATATGAGCAGCCCTATTTTTATAAAAAAGACAAGCAGGTTTTCAGTTGTCTTTGTGGGGTTGAAAGGAGGACCCAAGTCCCAACCACTGTTCTAGAACCTGTGTGACCTTATTGGAAAGAGTCTCTGCAGATATAATTAAGATCGTCTTGGATCTAGGGTGGGCCCTAAATCCAACGGCAGGTATCTCTTTGGGAGATGGGAGAGGGAGATTTGAGAGACACACAGGGAAGAAGCCACAAGGGTGGAGGCAGAAACTGGGATGTGGACACCTGAAGCCGCCAGAATCTATTAGAGGCAGGAAGAACCCACTCCCATCCCGAGTCTTTGGAGGGAGTGTGGTCCTGCCCACATCTTGATTTGGACCTCTGGTCTCCAGAAGTGTGAGAACACCTGTGGTACAGCCACCCCGTGTGTGATGCCTGGCTGTGACAGTCCCAGGACACTCATAAGCTTGTGAAGATGGACGGCCCTGAGCACAAGCACGACTTTTCTGTGTGGAACCCTCTGGTTGCACCAGGACCGCTGGGCTGCCCCTCGCCCTGCACCCCTCACCTGGAACGGCCAGCCACTCGGCCATCACTGAGAGCGCTGTGCTCTGCACCTGGTCCTCAGGCACTACCTGGTCCACTATGCCCACCTGGAGGGCCTCTGCCGGCTGGAAGAGCAGCCCCAGCTGCAGGGCGCGCTCTGCGGCTCGGTGCCCAATGGTGTTCACGAGGGTGTCTTTGAACCTGGAAGACAGACACCCACTCACCCTGAGATCATGGGCTCCCAGGTGGGTCTTGTCCTGCGAGACAGACAGCAAGACAGCCGCTGAGTATGGGTACAGGCCCCGGCCTTACCAGAAGGGGGCGATGATACCCAGCTGTGTCTCGTTGAGCCCTATGTTGTACTTGGGGTTGTTGGCCAGGATGCGGTAGTCACAGGTGAGGGAGATCAGGCAGCCTCCGGCGGGGCAGACTCCCTGGGTGGAGAAGCCAGACCGCCTGAGCTCTGGGGGTGCTGCAGGCTCCAATGGCATCCCAGAGGGTGGGGGTCCAAAGAAGGGCCTGCAGGTGGTGTGTGCCCCCAGGGCGCCCCAGGACCAGCACAGTCTTGGTAAGCCCCATGGGGAAAAGGGCCGGGAAGGACCTGGCCCCTGGGAATCAGCAGCTGGGGTCTTGGGCTTTCCTGTCACTTGGGGGCCCTGATGACCGTGTTCAGGGTCATCAGGTCTTGGAAACCAGGTAAGTCACTTATCTACATCATCTGGTTGGCGTAGCAAGTCGCTTTCCCTCATAGCTTTTGTTCGATGCTAAAGTGCCACATAAGTATTTGGCTGGAGCTGTCATTTTCCGTTATACCCCTGGGGGCCCATTACCTCCCCAGCAGCCAGCACTACCAGGATGTCCCAGGAACCCCAAACAGGCTCCACATCAGTCTTTGCTGCTGTGCCCCCTAGCGTTTCCTAACTCAGCCATCCCTCCCTTCTGCCGGGGCCGCAACTGTCTTTCACAACACCCTGGTTCCTGGGGTTGAGCCTCCCCTTGTCCTTGGCCTCCCTTGCCTTCCCCAGTTCACCCTGGCACAGCCTCTCTGGGTCCCTGGGGGATGTGAGTCCTGTTTCCCACCTGCCAGAGTCCTTCTAAAGCCTTGTTTGTCCTGCCCAGGCCACACCCCCATCTGCCTTTTCAGCAGGTGGTGTGGTCGGCAGGAGCACACTTGCCTATGCAGGCCTCAGGGTCTCCCCAGCTGCCCCTCTGCCACTGAGAGCTTCCGAGGCAGTGACCAGTGTTTGCCCCCACCCTCACAGCTGGCCCCACATGAGCCAGAGAGGCCACTTGGGGGTGGGGACACTCACGTTGACGGCAGCGACCACCACCAGGTTGGACAGGTAGAACCGCAGCCACAGCTCCTGCACGGCCTTCCAGTACTCAGCATAGTGGGCTGGGTTCCGCCCACACATCTCCCGCAGGTCCAAGCCCGACGAGAAGACGCCAGGGCAGTCCTGGAGGAGTGGTTGGGCTGAGTGCCTGTCAGAGTCCTCCCAGTCGGCATCACAGCACCATGGCCAGGGAGCCCAGAGCATGAGGGACAGTGGGGCCAGGTCATACTCAGGGCAGCAGACTGTGGCCCCTCCAGAGCCCAGACCTCTCTCAAAGCCCATTTTCCTCTACCACTAGCTCCTTCTAACTTGAAAGGTGACCCTCAGTGAGCTTTCTGACCCAACAAAGGGATTTCTTTCTTTCTTTTTTTTTTTGAGTTGGAGTCTCACTCTTCTGTCGCCCAGACTGGAGTGCAGTGGCCACTCCCGGCCACCGCAGCCTCGACCTGCTGGGCTCTGGCGATCCTTCCGCCTCAGCCTTCCAAGTAGCCGGAATTACTACTATGCGCTACAATGCCCGGCTAATTTTTTGAATTATTGTAGAGATGAGGTCTCACCAAGTTGCCTAGGCGGGTCTCGAACCCGCGGGCTCAGGCAAGGGATTTCTATGCTGGCCCCACATGCTGCTTACCCTGGTCCTGGCACTGAGCAGGGGTCTGATGCCTGAGGGAGGCATGAGTGGAGCCAGGATAAAGCCACCCCTGTCTTGGAGGACTGTCTCCTCTCCTCATCGACCATTGCACACCCTCCGTTCTGGGTCTCACTCAGTCCCACTCTCCTGGGCCTGAAAGATGTCTCTTACAGCTGGACGCAGTGGCTCACACCTGTAATCCCAGCACTTTGGGAGGCAGAGGCAAGAGGATTACCTAGCTGGGTTTGGTGGCTCAGCCTGTAATCCCGTGCTTTGGGAGCCTGAGGTGAATGGATTGCCTGAGCCCGCGGGTTCGAGACCTGCCTAGGCAACTTGGCGAGACCTCATCTCTACAAGAAATCAAAAAATCAGCCGGGCGTGGTAGCGCATACCTGTAATTCCGGCTACTTGGAAGGCTGAGGCGGAAGGATCACTGGAGCCCAGCAGATCGAGGCTACAGTGACTGGGAGCGGCCATTGCACTCCAGTCTGGGCGGCAGAGTGAGACTCCAACTCAAAAAAAAAAAAGAGGATTACCTGAGCCCATGAGTTTGAGACCAGCCTGGGCAACTTGGTGAGATTTAGTGTCTACAATACATTAAAAAAAAAAATAGCCAGGCGTGATGGCGCATGCTTGTGGTTCCAGCTACTTGGAAGGCTGAAGTGGAAGGACTGCCTGAGCCCAGCAGGCTGAGGCTGCAGTGGCTGTGAGAATGTCACTGCCCTCCAGCCTGGGTGACAGAGGGAGACTGACTCAAAAAAGAAAAAAAAGATGCTGCTTACTGCCCTCTGGGACCTTGGTAACGACACCGTGCTCATGTGTTCTGGCATTGCCAGCACTAGGGGAGATGTTGAGGTTTCTTCCAGAACTCACATGGAAGAAATTTGCCCTTGGAGAACTTGGTCTTATGACTGGCCCAACGAGGAATGGAAAGCATGGCTTTTGGCACGTGTCATTCATGGGACTGGATTGAGGCATCCAGGGGATCCTAGGAGGACACCCTGGGAACCCACTGCCAAGTTTGCATAGGACCCACATTCTATGAAGCAGGGCTCAAGGAGACCCCTGCAGACATGTCACTCTCCTTCATAGATCTGGCCTGGACGCTTGGCACCATGGCTCTCTCCAGTGTGTGCTCAGAGGCACGGGCCTGGGAAGACTGTCTTGGATGCTGGTCAACCTTACAGACAATGATCTGCCAAAGCACACCAGCAAGTTGGGGTTCCAGAAGCCTCTCCTGGGAGCACCTGGTGTGCTGCCTGGCTTGTTGGTACCATGTGATGGCAGGCACCAACCTCTCCCAGTGTGGCGACAGATATGTGCATTGATCAGAACACTCAGGGACCAGGGAAGGCTAAGCAGGCACCCACCGAGGTCACAACCAGGCCGCGGAAGGTCTTGTCATTCTCTAGCTTCTCCAGGTTGATGACCAGCTCCGTCAGGAAATCCAGGCTGAGGCTGTTCACAGGTGGGTTCTTGAATTTCATCACAGCAATCCCTGATTTAAACGAGGAAGAGGATGTTCACACCCAGCACCAGAAAGCACCCAACAGCCTGCATCCTTGATCAGGCCATAGTAGCTGCCTGGTTTGGGAGAGGGAGGGATTCACCCACTTAGACTCAGACTCTCACTCTGTTGCCCAGGCTGGAGTACAATGGCACACTCTCAGCCACCCCAGCCTCAATCTGCTGGGCTCAGGCAATCCTTCCACCTCAGCCTTCCAAGTAGCTGGAACTACAGGCATACAGCACCAGGCCCAACTAATTTTTTTTTTTTTTTGATTCGAGGTCTCACTCTGTCACCTGGAGGTCTCACTCAGACTGGAGTGCAGTGGCATGATCACAGGTCACCACAGCCTCAACCTCCTGGACTCAGGTGATCCGTCCACCTCAAGATCCCAAGTGGCTAGGACTATAGGCATGTGCCACCATGTCTGGCTCATTTTTTTTGATTTATTGAAGAGATGAGGTCTCGCTATGTTGCCCAGCTTGGTCACGAATTCCTGGGCTCAAGTGGTTCTCCTAACTTGGCCTCCCAATGTGCTGGGACTACAGACGTGGGCCACTGTTCACTTTTTTTTTGAGTTGGAGTCTCACTCTGTCGCCCAGGCTGGAGTGCAGTGGCATACTCACGGCTACTCCAGCAATGACCTGCTGGGCTCCAGCAATCCTTCCACCTCAGCCTTCCGGAACTACAGACACATGCTACCATGCTCCGCTAATTTTTTGATTTATTGTAGAGACGAGGACTTGCCAAGTTGCCTGGGCTGGTATCGAACCCGCAGGCTCAGGCAATCCACTTGCCTAGGCCTCCCAAAGTGCTGGGATTATAGGCTGAACCACCAAGCCCAGCTGCTCATTACTTTTTTTTTTTTTTTGAGTTGGAGTCTCACTCTGTTGCCCAGACTGAAGTGCAGTGGCTGCTCCCAGTCACCGCAGCCTTGACCTGCTGGACTCCGGCGATCCTTCCGCCTCTGCCTTCCAAGTAGCTGGAACTACAGGCGCGCTACCACGCCCAAATAATTTTTGATTTATTGTAGAGATGAGGTCTCACCAAGTTGCCCAGGTGGGTCTCGAACCCGCAGGTTCAGGCAATCCACTCACCTCAGCCTCCCAAGGCGTGGGATTACAGGCTGAGCCACTGAGCCTGGCTCTCATTACTTTTTAAGATGGAATAATATCCCACTGTGTGGACAGATCACATTTTGTTATTCATCCACTGATGGACACTTGAACTGGTCTCACCTTTGGGCTGTATGAGCACTGTAGCAGTACATATGGCATGGACAGGTTTTATTCTTTTTTTAACACCTGTTTTCAATTATCTTAGGTTTATACCTAGGAGTCAGATTGGTGGTCACTTGGTAACTTTTTCAGGATACCCCAAACTATATTGTTGAGATGAATGTTTTATATCGTCAGTTCTGGATTTATAGGGAGGCTGCATGGACAGTGTTGTTCCCATGTGCCCTGGTGCAGCCACTGCACTGGTCTTCTGTGGTCCAGGCCTTCCAGTTTCCTGACAGAGCTCTGGACCCATCGGTGCTGCTCAGAGATAAAGTGTCACCAACACAGACTGGTCATGTCCCTCACCTCAGGATGAGCCCTCAGTGCCTGAATGTTACAGACGCAACACAAGCTGCCTCACCTCTACCTTGGTCTCCCTTTCAGGCCCATCCTCACCCAGAGTCCTGGTCTGTGCCCTGAAGTTTTGTCAGGTTTCCTCAGGTCTCCATGGCTTTGCTTGGGCCCTGCCATCTGCTGATAATGCCTGTCTCCTCTGAAATAGTTTTTTTTTTTTTAAAGTTGGAGTCTCACTCTGTCTCACAGGCTGGTGTGCAGTGGCATGCTCACAGCTTACCATAGCCTTGACCTCTTGGGCTCAGGCGATCCTTCCACCTCAGCCTCCTGAGTAGCTGGGATTACAGGTATGTGCCACCATGCCTGGCTAATTTTTGATTTTTTTTTTTTTTTAATAGAGATTAGGTCTCACTATGTGGCCCAGGCTGGTGTCGAACTGCTGGGCTCAAGCAATTCTCCTGCCTTGGCCTTCCAGAGAGCTGGGATTACAGCTCATCACACCCAGCCCCTTTTCAACATTGAAAACCCAGCTTCTTTCCAGTTAACCAGAAAGAAAGTCTAAAAATAACAGACACAAGACTATAAACAGTTGGCTCAGCCTATAATCCCAGCACTTTGGGAGGCTGAGGTGAGTGGATTGCCTGAGCCCACAGGTCCGAGATCAGCCCAGGCAGCCTGGCAAGACCTTGTCTCTACAATAAAATAAAAAATAGCTGGGCATGGTAGCGTGCGTCTATAGTTCTGGCTACTTGGAAGGCTGAGGTGGAAGGATCGCTGGAGCCCAGAAGGTCGATGCTGGAGTGGTCGTGAGCGTGCATGCCACTGTACTCCAGCCTGGGCAAAGGAGTAAGACTCCAACTCAACACAACAAAAACATATTAGAGTCCAGATAAGACCCTATAGCAGAGGTCCCAACCAGGTCATGGACCAGTTCCAGTCTGTGGTTAGGAACCAGGCTGCACAGCAGGAGGTGAGTGGTGGCAAGCAGAGCTCTGCCTCCTGTCAGATAAGTGGTAGCATCAGATTCTCATAGGAGTGCGAACCCTGTTGTGAACTGCACATGCAAGGGAGCTAGGTTGTATGCTCCTTATGAGAGTCTAATACCTGATGGTTTTCCCCTTCGCCCCACCTGTGGAAAAACTGTCTTCCATGAAACTGAAAAAGGTTAAGGACTGCTGCCCTATAGGTTCTGGCGGTCTCCATCCAGAGGTCAGGCCAGATCCTCATTAGCAGTGACCTTAATGAAATTTCCTCTGTAGCCAAAGGGTGTCTGTTAAGCAGCCCTCAGAGTCCTCCTTCTTCCCCCTCCTGCTTTGCTGACCTTCTACCCTGGGGCTAGGCAAACTTTCTGTTAAAGGGCCAGGGAGTAAATCTTTTCAGCACTGCAGGCCACATGATCACTGTCATAACCAGTCAGTATGAAAGCAGTCACAGACAGTATGTAAATGAATAAATACAGAGTATGTGTGCCAATAAGACTTTATTTACAAAAACAAGGGGGAGGCTGGGTGTGGTGGTTCACGCCTATAATCTCAGCACTTTGGGAGGTGGAGGTGAGAGGATTGCCTGAGCCCAGGGGGTCAAGACCAACCTGGGTAACTTGGCAAGACCTCATCTCCACAAAAAAAATTTTTTTTAAAATTAGCCAGGCATGGTGGTACATGCCTGTAGTTCTGAACTTGGAAGGCTGAGGCAGAAGGATCTCCTGAGCCTAGCAGGTTGAGGCTGTGGTGGCCGTGATTGTGCCACTGCACTCCAGCCTGGGTGACAGAGTGAGGCTCTGACTCAAAAAAACAAGAACAAAATCAAGCCCTCCCCCCCCGAAAAATCCCCAAGTGGACAGGACTTGCCGATTTCTCTTTTGTAACATAATTAATTTTTTTTTGAGTTGGAGTCTCACTCTGTTGCCCAGGCTGGAGGCCAGTGGCATGTTCATGGCCACTGCGGCCTCCACCTGCTGGGCTCAGGTGATCCTTACGCCTCAGCCTTCCAAGTAGGTGGAACTACTGGCATGCACCATCACGCCTGGCTAATTTTTCTCGATTTATTGTAGAGATGAGGTCTCGTCAAGTTGCCCAGCTGGTCTCAAACCTGTAGGCTTAGGCAATCCTCTCACCTCGGCATCCCAAAGTGCTGGGATTATAGGCATCAGCCACCGTGCCTGGCCTGTAACATCATTTTTAAGTTCAATAATTTACAAGAGAAAAGAACCAGATTGCTGTTGGTAAATGCTGACTGCTCATATTCAGAGAGCTTTGATGTTGGTCTCTGAACCCATGGTACTGAGGGAGAAGAAAAACACAGAATGTTCTGATTTGCTGCAGGAGGCCCAGTAGTCTCCAACAGGGCAGAGAGACCCGCGGGTTTTTTCTTCTGCCCATAGAGCACTGTGGGTGAAGAGCTCATGAAGGTTTTGTTGAGACAGGGAGAGTTACAAATGAACAGAATAGAAAGGGATACATTGTTTCCAGTATATTCTGCTCAAGGTATTTCTGCCCCAGTATGTCAAGTGCCAAGGTATGAAGGGGAGAGATAAACAATACTGAGGACCAGGCCCCCAAGGAAGAAAGAACAAAAAACCCAGAGAGGCGGCAGCAGGCTCCCAGGACAGGAGGACTCGGAGGAAAACAGTCAGGGCACACTGGTCATCCTCTCCTCAGCCTCACTGCTGCTGTGGGTTGAACTGTGTCCCCCTAAAAAGACCTTAGAGTCCCATCACCTGGTATTTGTGCATGTGCCCTTATTTGAAAATAGGGTCTTTGCAGATGCAAGTTAGGACGAGGTCACACTAGCAGAGGGAGGGCCCTTAATCCAACATGGCTGGTGTCCGCTAAGATAAGATGAGAAGGCCATGTAAAGACAGAGGTGGAAACTGCAGCAAAGTGTCCACAAGCCAAGGGATGCCCAGACCTGCCAGCAGCCACCAAAAGCTGGAAAGGCAAGGAAGGGTCCTCCCCTGGAGCCTTAGGCGGGAATGCGGTCCTTGATTTCGGACTTCTGGTCTCCAGCACTGGGAGGATGCACTGCTGTCATCTGAGTCCCTCCGTGTGTGGCACTTTGTGACAGCAGCCCCAGGACACAAATGCAATCATCACCTTCTTCTGCCCCTTCTTCACCTCCGAGCAGGAACAAGGGCCCCACGGGATGTGGTGAAATCTCATCCCTGCAGACATCACCTGCCTCGGCCCCTGCAGCCAGGCACGCTTGCTCTCAGGTCAGCTGCCTGCGGAGGATTGGTCCAGCCCCTCCTGGGCATCCTGACTACAGCACAACCCCGCTGTCACCCGGAGGCAGTTCTCTGGCAAGAACTCCACTTCAGCTGGAAGTAAAAGCTTCCCTAAAAATTGATCCTGTAACCGACTGCACACCACCCAGAGCTGCCACATCCATTCTGGGCTCTGAGAGCCTCTTCACCTTCTGCCCCAGTCTCCAAGAACCTGGGGAAGGTCAGCAAGGTTGCTTCTGCCCATCTGGGATTTGGGTCATTGATCCTGATTTCTTCTGAAGGAGCAGGTGGCAGAGTTTGTCACACTTTTTCCTTTCAGAATTTCCTCACCAGCGTTTCTGTCTCCATTCCACTTCGTGCTTCACCAATATGTTCGGTTTCTCCTTTTTTTCTTCAGCAGCCAAGTCCTGTGTCCTTGTGGGAGCAGAAGTGGCCTTAACTTCTTGAGCAGAAAAATCTAAGAACCAAATATCCAAAGAAAAGCTCTAGTCGGGGAGGGGGTCCTGCTTCAAGCTTGTGTAATGATAGATGCTAAAACCATGAGGGTCAGATGCTCCTAAACGCTCCACAGTCCATCCACTCATGCAGCCAGCAGCAGAGAAGACAGGAGAGATAGGGCCTGCCCTCATGTAGCTGCTGGTCACCCTGGCTTGGGTCACCTGTTTGTGCCTCTTGTCTCAAGCAAGGGCAGACCCCAAGGGTTGCAGAAACCACCACTCACTCAAGGAGCATCTCCCTGGCAAGGACCTCAGAAGTCTCTGGATTGTTGTTACCACTAACCATTTTCTGGGAATGAGACCTACATCTTGAAGGCAAATGGGCTCTTTGGGGACCTTTGATTCATGAGAAGAGGCTACGGGAGTATATAAGGTGCACATACAAAAACCAGAGCCAGCTTCAGCAACAGGCTCCCCAAAGCTGGTTCAGAGGGAGGTTTCTAAAATGGACTCTGAGCTTGGCAGAATTGGGAAATGGGGGAAAGGTAAAGAGGCCAAAGGTAGTGTGAGTTCACTAATGAGAACTGGAAGAGCCTGGCATCATGGGGTAAGCAGCTGCATGACTGGCTCGGGGTGGATATCAGATACATGCTACGTGAATGAAATCCTGAACAGTATCTGAAGTCAGCTTCAGCACAGCCCCCACAAAAACATTTCTCAAGGACATCTGTGCTGTTGCTTCATCCAGCCTAGGCCGCCCCGAAGGACCAACAGACCTCAGTGCTGCCATTTAACAACATCTGGCTGTTCTACAGCAGGGACAATCAGGTCTGGCTTCCTGACCCCAAACCCCACTATCTCACTGAGCCTCAAAGTCACCAAGTTCTTATGGAGTGGGGAAATGCTTTTGTTATCTCGCCAGCCCTTTCTTACTGGTCATAATATATGTAAATTGTGGTAAGCTATGCCTGATCTAATACTACTCTAACCACTGTGCAGTGTGCAACCCAGCATCTTTAGCTATGCTCCAAGTGTCATGCAATTCCCACCACCCATTCCGGTACTTCACAGGGTGTGTTTCTGTAGCTTTTGTGTTTTTGGTGAGACAGGTTCTCACTACGTTGCCCAGGCTGGTCTTGAACTTCTGGCCTCAAGTGATCCTCCTGCCTTGGCTTCCCAAAGTGCTGGGACTATAGGCTTGAGCCACCCTGCTTGGCTTGTTTTGTACTTTTTGAGATATATTTGTATCTGTCACAGAAATGAGCCTTCCAAAACCTCACATTTTTGTCAGACTTATAGTTGGCCTTAACCCAAGGCCCCTCACCACCTTGCCCATACAGCCCTCAGCTCAGAGAAAGAACAGAACCAAGGTCGGAGGCACAGGAAGTCCCGAGCTGTGCCAGGCAAGGGTTGGAGGGTTTGAGTCTGGGGGATGGGGAGGCCAGGGCTGCAGGCCTATTTGGGGAGGGGGATGGCTTCCTCCAGGAGGCAGCAGGGCCTCTCCTAAAAGCTTCTGAGTCCACAGCATCTCAGGATCCAGCTCAGGTCTCCTCTCTGGAGGGAAACCATGGGTTCCTTTTTCTTTTTTTTGAGTTGGAGTCTCACTCTGTCATCCAGACTGGAGTGCAGTGGCCGCTCCTGGTCACCGCAGCCTCGACCTACTGGGCTCTGGTGATCTTTCTGCCTCTGCCTTCCAAGTAGCTGGAACTACAGGCATGCACTACCATGCCCGGCTAATTTTTTTTTTTTTGAGTTGGAG